AATGACAGTAATGTAAGAAATTTTTACTAAGATATCCCCTTCACAAATCGGACGGGTGAATGCAAATTAATTCCTAAATTGATAAACTAGTAATAATACACAAAGAATAGACAAAAGCCATTCAATGATAATTACATAGACACAGACTACCGCGTATCTAAAAAAATGTTTAAAAAACAAAAATGTGAAATGCAATGTATCAATCGCTTTATGAACAATCGAACAAGAAGCTATTGCAGTGTCGGAGCAATGAGAATTTTCTTTCTTTCATTGTAATGACATTGTTGTCGCTCGTTATCGTTAAATACACATTAACAGGTAAACGAAGCAATTACTGCAAGTTTTTTAACGCAGAAATTTTATATGAAAAAGAGCTCGTTCAAATTGATTTTATAGACACTACTTACTCAAATATGTATCATTAACCGGTGACCTGTTGCTGTTTTCACTGAAATGTGACGAAGTATGACTTCTTCACCCTTTTCAGGTACTGATTTCTTCAGATAATGGTACAGGTGTAAAGATGTTGAACGAGACCACCGTCTCTATTACAAATAACGCGAAGATTACGCACAATCAAAATAAACCGCAATCCGCACAATACGGTAACGGACGCTTTTTTGCGTTAGCTCGTTTGAATTCCAACAATCGAATTTAAACAAGAACGTGATTATACAAAATTCGGCTTGGGCAATTGGGTTACGCAGTTCTACTCTGCGTTGTAATACGAATATTGCGAATGTTTATCTAATAAAAGAAGATAAATGAGCAATTGATTCACTATGTTTATGCTATCTGTCACAAATCCAGTTCATATTTGATGGCATTACTCCTAGATGGCATTTTGGACTTAATTTGTCTAAATCTTTTATCACAAATATTGTATGTATTTAAGATTTTTGTTTGTGTAGGTACCTGAAAAATGAAACACACGTTATTTTAATAACAAATGCACAAAACACGATAACCTTTTCCATTTGTATTTAAGCTGTGTATTTAATTTTAAATTGATTTTTAATGAAAACAAACACTCATTATTTAGAAATATTCTTTTCTTAAGTCGCACAAAACGTAACAAAGCGAAGTGGTTCGTGAATTATGTAATGGAAATACATGTCAGACCCTTCGTTCTTTCTGAGTAATTTCATGTTCCCAGGGCTTGAATAAGTTATATGTGCCGACTACGTTCATGCCGTTCCTGAAACGATTCATAAATTTTTAATGTCTACGGATGGGGAACAAATAATAGTTTCCTTTTGTATGAAATAACTACGTTACAATTATTATAATGAAAAAGTAAGTCTTATAATAATGTAACTAAATGTAAAATTATCGTTTTTACATAAATATTTAACTAGCGCCCCCCCTTCCCTCGGATTTGCACCGTGCAAAGTACATATAAATCTTCCTCTTGAATCACTCTATCTATTGCTGAAACCGGCATTAAAATTTTACCGTACATAGTTTAAAAGATCTAAGCGTACAAGCAACGGGAGCGACTTTGTTTTATACTATATAGTAAAGATGATGGGAAAATTTGATACAGTGTGAAAGACAATTTTGCGTGCTAATAATTCGAATAACTAACAGTTCAAGCTAAATGGATTCAAACTCAAACTTTTAAACATATTCTTCTTATTTAAAAATCAACGTCCTTAGCCACAAGACCACTACCAGTAAAACTTTGTTTGTAGAGCTACAAAAATGTTAACAAACGTTGAATTAAAATCATTATATTCAGATATCCCTGTAAGCTTTATGTTTTATTTTAAATTTTTTCACGCTTTAACCACTAGGCCAAGCATTAATTTACTTCAATATCGCATTGAATTACGTCTTGTTAATGTTTTTTCCTGAACAACGTTTTTTTTAAGTTTCCTATTTTTACTTTAACCGGTATAAGAATTATGTGTGACCATTAGCTTATCATATTAAGCAATCAAACAAATGTTTAATTTCAAATTACAGTAGGCACTAGTCTCTACAATTAAAATATAAAACATAAGATAAAAAAGAAGGTGTATGTTCATTTTACGTCGGCTTATTGATTCTTTTAGAGGTTGATGTACAAGTAATTGTTGGCACGGCGCATAACGCACACGTGCGTGGGTCTAGCGGACATCCTTATATGCGCGAAGACACGCCGCTTTAACTAAGCAATTTACCACTATGATCTAACACAGAATGCAAAGTAAACCGACACCCGTGATAGCGCCCCTAGCGACGATTTGCGCTTTTAGTCTTGACTATTTTACTTCCAACAGTAATTTTAGTAGTATTACTATTCGGTATTATTTCCATTCAGATCAAATCGGATTTCGAACTAAAGAATCCGTCTCTTCATCCGTTATACGTAAAACCATGCAAAGGTCAGAAAATAATCTGTATGCATCCGTCTTTCCATCTGATTTCCGTCTCTCACTAAGTTGACTTCATCACCACTTATTACCAGATGTGATGGCATTCAAGGGGACACTTCGTGATAAAAAATTGACTATAGTTTGACTATCGGGCGCACTATGCGCCCAGCACAAATAGTCATATTAGTAAAGTCAAGTATTTTCGTACTGCTTTGTTCCGGAATAATTTTTATGTTTGGGTTCCGTAAAAAACAATCCAAAGGATAAAATGGGACCCTATTATTAAGACTCCACGGTCTGTCTGTCTGTCTGTCCATCTGTCACCAGGCTGTATGTCATCAACCGTGATAGTTACACAGTTTAAATGTTCACAAATTATTTATTTCTGTTGCCGCTATAACGTCAAGGACATCACGTTAAATACTTAACTAAGGATCTTCGTGTTTTAAAACGGTTATAAATAGCCGAAGCGAATCGACAAAAAGTGAAAAAACCTCACCTAAAAGCACGACGCGAACCGCAAATAGTATCATGCAAGCATAATATACGTTTGCTCCGGCATAGCTGTACTCTGTTTCCTTTTTGTAAGTAAATTATTATGATATCTTCGTAAAGTAGGTACAAAGTCCTTCACTTTCCCTTTATAAGAATTAACAAATATACTTACTTGAAAATACGTCCTGCTTGAAGTTTAATAGTGAAAAAAAATGTAAAAGCTTTCCTTAAATGAATATACATAAAATAAGAATAAGAAAATGTGTTATTTTTGGTGATTTTACCAACTTTAGATAAATTAATACTTAAAGATAAGATATTTCGTCTAATCCCTTAAAACAAAATAAAATATGACGACTGATTACAGGAGACGAACAATTATTACTTATAGCTTTCTGGATCCTCTTCCCTTTCTGAATCTTTTGTAATGAGGCTGTTTGCTGCTGTTGCTATCGAAAATTTCAACTTTAGGAAACGTTTTATAAACAATAAAATAACTTAACAAAAAACAACAATAAATTAACAAAAAATAACAATAAATTAACAAAAGTTATCTCGATAAACGAAAAATATTGTCTACGCATTTAAAAATAATAACATGTTCTGATGAGACTTTTCAGTTATACATGAAAATACAAAGTTCAATAATAATAAAACTACAAAATATAATATTTTAAATATTAAATAGAATATTTGTATTAATTTTCCAGTAATAGGTCGCGCATAGACATAAAAATGTGTAAATGATTTTTACGTATCATAGCTTTATTTAAAAATTTGTTTAAATTTATAACCTTTACAGTATTGCCAAACAATTTGGCAGCAAAAGACGGTAAAACTATGAAGCCAGGTCTTTTTACTTGGTAGTCGAATTGTTAGCTTTGACCGGTTTCTTAACATGACAAAAGATTCTATAGAAAATTGTCTAAAAAGTTGAAACGTATCCTATTTTTCTAATATAATATTCTTCTTAAGACCTATTCCGTAATGCAAACATCTATTGTAAATTAAACCCAGGCTAGTTGACTTGGATCAATATCATTGCAAACACCGCAAAGAGTAGGAAATTTCATATGTTTAATCATCGATTCAGATTAATGGCTGTAATTTAATTTATTTATTATTAACACTATTTAACGAATAGCATTTTTCATTATATACCTATGTACCTACGTATTTAATATTTCAGAGCTTATATTACTTTTGCCTGTTCGATAACACAGTAACCTAGAGTGTCATGTGATAAAATCCTATTAATTAAAAATGATAATTAAATAGTAGTTAAATAGCCTTGTTACATCTTTTAACATTCATTTAAAGACAATCTTTATTTAATTATGACTACCATAAATTCATACTAAAATACAGCGGTGTCCTCTCCTAACTAATAGAAGAGTTACGACCTTAGCAGATGTCTCGTTGACTATACATATTTCATTCGCTTCAGATTTTTATCACTAAAGCTTACATTTTATTTTCCAAGCAGCTACCGTCGTAAATCAGTTCGCTGTCGTCTTACATATATTACTGCGAGGGAGACAGAGAATTACAATAAAATTTGTAATATTCGAAAACTCGTATACATTTCTCCGTTCGTACTAAACAAACATTATTAAAGATTTATATTTTATGGTTACATTTTTAGCAAATTCATGAATCGGAAATTCATGAATTGAATTTTTTCAAGTTGATCGATCCTAAGGACAAGTTTCGTTGTAGTACCAAAATTATTTTGAATCTTTAAATTTATTAACGAATATTTTGAATAAGATCCGGATCTTTTGTTATCTTCCAAACCGTAAGTACGGCTTAGTTTACAATACTTCGTAACAGTATCTAAGTGGGTTACTTATTGAAATTTTCTTTAACTGTTTTCTGCAAGGTATTCGAATATTATTTTAAAAGTGATATGATCAGATCAAATCATGAAATAGGAAGATATTGTCTTCTAATTTGCTGTAACATAGGACATGAAGACATTTTGAAGATTATACATAATATGTAACTCCTTGAAGACCGAGACGTCGTGCAAACACACTTGCAAAAAAGTCAAGGGCCGTGATGTCAACGTCCCCGCTACGAAATTCGTCGTAAGAACCTCCCTACTTTATTTCATACTCCTCACGTGCGTTGTTTGTTTTTCAGATCACAAAGGCTGAAGGTGCTGGCCCTCTAGGTGCCCATTGTCGGACAAGTGCCGACTGCAACGCTACAAATTCTCATTGCGACAAAGGAGTTTGCTCCTGTCAACCGTATTACGCGCAAGTCGACAGCTCCACGTGCCTTCAGTGTAAGTAGCGATACTTAATTATTACGATTTTTGCTGACTCATCAAAAACATATTTATTAAGCTATGCTTAACTTATTTGATTTAATAAGCGATGGATGTCAGATTTATGATATGAGATGTAGGTTAGGGTTTTTAGGATTGTAAAGTAAAAGTAAAGTAACAGCCTATACATGTCCCACTGCGGATTGGCGGACTTCACATATCTTCGAAATACATATTTTTTTCTTATTATTTCGAAAATATGCAGGTTTCCTCACAATGTTTTCCTTCACCGCGAAGCACGTGATAAGTCAGCACTTAAAGTTAGAAACTTAGCACCAGGGATCGAACTCAGTTTGCTCGAGTATATTGAATTAAAGACGAGCGCCCGGACACTGAGCTATCACGGCTCTTCTATTTTTAGGATTGTTACGTGAGAAATTCACTGTCTAATCTTGTGTAAATATATCGGTGTAACGGTGAGTAAGACCGTCTGTCTACTTTGTTAAGATTGAAAGTCGTGAGGGCTCATAAAAGTTTTTATTTTTGAAACTGTGCGATGAGGTATTTTATGGTCAATCCTGATGAACATTCAAACGTTCGTCACTTTGTCTTTTTCCATAACATTAAATTTTTAAATTTAAAACTACTCTTATACATCGGTATTTCCGTCATCTCCTATTTCTCTTTCTTAATCCAATAACCCTTTATTTAAAGACTAAATTATGAACAACAATTCGGCGGATGGGATTTTGTGGTGAAAACTTAAGTGTCAACAACCTTAGGTTAGTCTGTAGCGATAATATTATATGCCACAAGCTAGCTCAACTTGCGTGGAATGGAAATACTTTATGGCGTTTTTCATTGCCGCGCATACGCCGACAAAAGATCCAACGTAGCCTTCGTACTTGATGTGGTCAAGTCTGCGGTGATTCCAACAACAAATTACTTTCACTTAAACAAGCGAACCGCGGTGTAACCATTTAGTCATAGAGTTTTCAAAAATTGCTAGTTACGCTGCTTATAGATCCCGGCTTTCCAATAGTTGAAAGTGTTTGACGGTACTACACGTAACGGTTATAATCGTATCAAAAGGTGTTAGGCATACCTAACACACACAAACACATTAAAACGATGTCTAAAACAATTAATAAGCATTCGGTCATACAGATTTTGATTTTTTATATTTTTTTTTCAAAACAAGGTAAAAAATAAAAATCAGGCATTCCACAGCACATATTGACGCTCCAAATAATTGGAATTGAATTAAAACTCTGTGAAACACTGTCATTCGAACCTATGACCTGAGATCTTATCTGTTGTATGTCGCAGGCGTACCTTAGGCCAAGGCAAATCAAACAAAAATAAACATATCTAATGAATACAACTATTAGTCGCCCATAGAAATTCGACCAGAAGTTCGATTTAAGGAATTTTTTTATAGAATATAAATTAATTATTATTTTAATTCCGCATTTTGACAATATGACATCTAAAAATTAATTTGGCAATAGAAAATATTTATACGGTGCGACATTATTTTGTTTTGAAATTGACATAGGGTCACACAGTGAATCGTCCTCTCGTCGCAACTAAGATTCAAGGTAGTCATTTATATTATAAAGGATTTTTTGTTCTAATCGTATGCAGCGTGTCGTTACCATCGCGACAATAAATGAACTCGTCTAAGGCTACTTGTCAATAATCATAAAAAAATATAAACGTTAAAAAATCCATAATTAAAAAAAATATTTTTCAAACAAACTAATTAAGTAAAAAAGAAACAAAATTTGTAACATCCTATACAACTGACTGATTCATACATTCAGAGACTTTTTATTCGTTGCCACAGCGTCGCATTACAAGACTCTCCTTCTAACAGTATGTTTTGTCTCTTTTAAATTCATTCAACCCATTCATATGCTTTGTGATCTTTACAAATGAACTTTACGTTACAGTTTTATACGTAGGGGTGTTCTAAATTCCTTTATTTTAGAAAATTTAATAACTCTGTAAATATTGATGTTTAAAGAAAGTAAATGTTTAATACAATTTTAAAAAGTTATCCTCTATATGTGTGTTCATTTATTGTCGCGATTGTAAAGACACACTGTATGAATAGCGGTTTATATACGATTAGAACAAAAAAATAGAATGAAGAATAGAATGAAGATATATATTCAACGGTTTTCAATTAGCTTTCACCAGTTTGCAGATAAATATTTGTGATTGAGTGATCAATTTTTCCTATTGTGTGCAGTACGAGGCATCGGATTACTCTTTTCCAAGTAGCTTTCTTTATTTGGAAATGTCTCGATGAAGGAAGAAGTCTTACACAGAATTATTGGGTAAATAAACCCATGTTTTTCATGTAATACCCGTAGCATACGTTATTCGAAAGGAGTCAACAGTATCCCATAAAATACCTTGACTGTATAAATACAGTTAACCATACAATAAACATTTAAGGAGCATTAAAAATGTTTGATTTTTATAATAATCAAATCATTTTATATACTCGTAGTAACCTTAATAAGTTAATTATAAAATATTCAGTTTATCGGATCGTGCGAATGTACTCGCAAACAAAGTGAAAAGGCTGCATTGAACCAAAATGAACGTAGTCGACGCTAAAATTGAATGCGGCGCGATGATATCGGTACGCTATCAAGCGCTTTTATTTCGATCGTCCCATGATCCCACGCTCGCCTCACTTTCTTCACCCTATTATCTCTCACTCCTCAAAGAAATCCTACCAAATTGAGAACTGGTACACCGACGGATCGTATAACTGTTGCTCAGTGCAGACTATATTTTTGAAACACCGGTGTCGTTGGCGGAATTGCCACATTTGATGATATTAAGACGACCGCGAACTTTCTTGTTATGATTATAGAGTTGCCCCAGAAATAATTCTTTTCTCGAACGAACGGAGAACGTGAGCTCATACCTTTTGCGAGAGTATTATTTTTATAATGAGCAATATTGGCAATTTGCAATATCAAAATGTTCAGTAAAGTATATATACATATCATTTATTTAAATTTTAAAGCATTAATGTAGACATGGGAGCATTCACAGTTACATATATTAACATAGAGTAAAAGATATTTAAAAATAAGGACAATCATGGTTATTTATTAGTAAACACCTATTCTTCTTTTCTCTGTCCTTAAAAGCTGAGTTGAGCTATAATATAATTATCTAGGTAGTGGAATATTTTTCATAGCGTTCGCTTTTAAAGTTTTTCTGTAAACTTTTATACATATTAAGTTTTCAAACCTAATTAATTATCGGTGTCTTATATTGTTAGGTCACAAGAATAGGTTTTTTTGTTGCGTTGTATTCATTAATTGAACATCCTAATTAATAGACAACACATCTTTACAGATAAATAAATTTGAGTGTCTGTTTGTGATATTAAAATAACCGCTTTTTACTAAATGCATATGGATGAATACACGGTACATTTTTTTTCTGTCTGTCTGTCTGTTTGTTCCGGCTAATCTCTGAAACGGCTGGACTGATTTGGACAGGACTTTCACTGGCAGATAGCTGATTTAATAAGGAATAACTTAGACAACTTTTATTTTAGTTTTTTTCTTTTATTTAAAATTCCATGCGGACGAAGTCGCGGGCACAGTTAGTTACAAATAAAAATCGGATAACACATTATATGTTAACGTTAATTCGGAATATAGTTAGGTATTAAATTATCCCTATAATTCATAGTTTCAATGACGTTTTTAAAAAAAAACTTTTCATGCGCCTTATAAGCACCGAACTAAATTCGAAATAGAAAATACTCGGACCTGGCATTGAAATACATTTGCTGCCTTATAAGTCTGGCCTGGAATTTGAAACGTGATGTATTCTAAGGCCATGCGTGTGTATTATTAAGTACCTGGAGAACCGAAAAAATAAAAAATAAAGAAAGCAATGATCTGGTATAGAAAAAAAGTAAAAAAAAAAGTTATAACATGTTATAACATTTTTTTCTGCGGCGAAATTTACCGTCATATTCGAATGATAGCTAGATCGATTTATGCCCCCGAATCTACGCACATACAAAATTTCATGGCTTTCGCTGGAGCCGATTCCGAGATCCCAATTATATAATATATATATACTGAACGAATAGCTTTTTTATTTTTATTTCTTTATGTTTGTACCTTTCATGGATTTTACTACTGCAGAGTAGGATCTAAGTTATTTATTTAGCATGAAAGATGATATCGTTATTAATGTCAAACCATAATCAAAAACGACGATATATGTATGAATACAAAGAAAATAAAATAAGTTGCAGAGATTCTACTTGACCCTGAACTTAAACAAATGGAAAAAAGTATAATTAATAAGTCAATTATTGACTCTCACTGTTCTAGTGTACTAGTAGACTATTTATAATATTCAGCATTTTTATAATACAACTGTGCTGTCACATCTACATAACCATAACCAGTTGTGTAGCAGAAAACTGTTACAATGTGAATCGACAAAACAAATTAAATCATGTATACTACACTTAATATTGAACAAAAACACGCGTACAGCATTTCGTATCAACAGGCCGATAGAGTACATTACCATACACGGGTTGGAAGATGACTGTTGGCAGCTATACGAAACGCTGGCTAGCTCTTTGCGGAATACTTAAAAGACTCGTAGATTTCTATCTCCATTCCCGTAAATGGGGCACGTCTGTCTAGACATCAGCTGTCAGCTGTCGACCAGTACATCTCCAACGGACGGTACACCAACCGTGAGCAATCATCGCGCACAGGTATATCGGTATAAGACACGACGTACCGTTCTCTAACAGTCTGCCGCTGACAGTAACAGAAAGTCATAATTATAGCTGACATATCAATGGAAATATTTATATCGAACAAAAACAGCGCAAGTGACCGACAAGACGCTCCGCGTTGCGAGCACAATTTAATCGAGCGCGACACCAATAAATCCTCATTTAGCCTTGAGGGTGTTGGGATGCAAATGCTTAAATTATATTTAAATTT